TATGTGAACACAGACCAAAAGAACTGGGATGAAATCCTCCCTTTTATCACCCACGCGTATAATACCACGATTCAAGAAACCACAGGCTACTCTCCATTTTTCCTGTTGTTTGGAAGGGAACCCATGTCCCTCTTAGACGACGAGAATATCCCAACGGACAGTAACATGGACGATTACGACGAATATATAGAAAACTACTTAGATAAAATAGCAAGGACGAGACAGGTAGTCATTAACAACACAGAGAAGACTCAGGAAAGAATGAAAAGAAACTATGACAAAAAACACAATGAGAAAATCTATGAACCAGGACATTTAGTGGCAGTTTGGACACCAGTCAGGAAAGTCGTAAAATGTGAAAAACTATTGAGAAAATATTTTGGCCCATATCGAATATTAAAGAAGCTGTCTAACGTAAATTACTTAATTGAGCCGAAAGATAATCCTGGCCAAGACCCATTGATTGTCCATGTCTCAAGACTCAAACCCTATTTTGAGAGAATTGATGAGGTAACTCACGAGGACGTGACGACCTCTGGAGAGGGGGAAGTGTTACATCATGATTAATGGCGTATTTCTTATATCATTTTTAATATATTTGAAATTTAAATTATATATTTATTTATTTTTATATTCTATGATATTTATTTAAAACAGATTATTTTTTAGATTATCATCATTTGTATATAGGTACACGTGTGACTTCACTGCTCTCTTTGATGTGAGAAAATAAATAGATTATTCTGGAGGCTACTTAAAGTAGACTTATCTCATTATTCCCTTTTATAAATTTGTAGGATGGTTGAAACACGCTCTGGTAAGATGCAAGACCCAGCACAGGAGAGAATCATGCCTGAAGAGTCTGCCAAGCCGCAACCTGGTGCAACAATATAATATAAAAAGCCAACAATGAAGAGTGAATGTAAGATAAAAAGCCAACAATGAAGAGCAAATGTAATATAAAAAGCCAACAGAGTGAATGTAAGATAAAAAGCCAACAATGAAGAGTGAATGTAATATAAAAAGCCAACAATGAAGAATGAATGTAAGATAAAAAGCCATCAATGAAGAGTGAATGTAATATAAAAAGCCAACAATGAAGAATGAATGTAAGATAAAAAGCCAACAATGAAGAGTAAATATAATATAAAAGGCCAACAATGAAGAGTGAATGTAAGATAAAAAGCCAACAATGAAGAGAAATGTAATATAAAAAGCCAACAGAGTGAATGTAAGATAAAAAGCCAACAAGGAAGAGTGAATGTAATATAAAAAGCCAACAATGAAGAATGAATGTAAGATAAGAAGCCAACAATGAAGAGTGAATGTAAGATAAAAAGCCAAAAATGAAGGGTAAATGTAATATAAAAAGCCAACAATGAAGAATGAATGTAAGATAAAAAGCCAACAAAGAAAAGTAAATATAATAAAAATAGCCAACAATGAAGAGTGAATGTAAGATAAAAAGCCAACAATGAAGAGTAAATGTAATATAAAAAGCCAACAGAGTGAATGTAAGATAAAAAGCCAACAATGAAGAGTGAATGTAATATAAAAAGCCAACAATGAAGAATGAATGTAAGATAAAAAGCCAACAAAGAAAAGTAAATATAATATAAAAAGCCAACAATGAAGAGTGAATGTAAGATAAAAAGCCAACAATGAAGAGCAAATGTAATATAAAAAGCCAACAGAGTGAATGTAAGATAAAAAGCCAACAATGAAGAATGAATGTAAGATAAAAAGCCATCAATGAAGAGTGAATGTAATATAAAAAGCCAACAATGAAGAATGAATGTAAGATAAAAAGCCAACAATGAAGAGTGAATGTAAGATAAAAAGCCAAAAATGAAGAGTAAATGTAATATAAAAAGCCAACAATGAAGAATGAATGTAAGATAAAAAGCCAACAAAGAAAAGTAAATATAATAAAAATAGCCAACAATGAAGAGTGAATGTAAGATAAAAAGCCAACAATGAAGAGTAAAGGTAATATAAAAACCAACAGAGTGAATGTAAGATAAAAAGCCAACAATGAAGAGTGAATGTAATATAAAAAGCCAACAATGAAGAATGAATGTAAGATAAAAAGCCAACAAAGAAAAGTAAATATAATATAAAAAGCCAACAATGAAGAGTGAATGTAAGATAAAAAGCCAACAATGAAGAGTGAATGTAATATAAAAAGCCAACAATGAAGAATGAATGTAAGATAAAAAGCCATCAATGAAGAGTGAATGTAATATAAAAAGCCAACAATGAAGAATGAATGTAAGATAAAAAGCCAACAGTGAAGAGTGAATGTAAGATAAAAAGCCAACAATGAAGAGTAAATGTAATATAAAAAGCCAACAATGAAGAATGAATGTAAGATAAAAAGCCAACAATGAAGAGTAAATATAATATAAAAACCAACAGAGTGAATGTAAGATAAAAAGCCAACAATGAAGAGTGAATGTAATATAAAAAGCCAACAATGAAGAATGAATATAAGATAAAAAGCCAACAAAGAAAAGTAAATATAATATAAAAAGCCAACAATGAAGAGTGAATGTAAGATAAAAAGCCAACAATGAAGAGCAAATGTAATATAAAAAGTCAACAGAGTGAATGTAAGATAAAAAGCCAACAATGAAGAATGAATGTAAGATAAAAAGCCATCAATGAAGAGTGAATGTAATATAAAAAGACAACAATGAAGAATGAATGTAAGATAAAAAGCCAACAATGAAGAGTGAATGTAAGATAAAAAGCCAAAAATGAAGAGTAAATGTAATATAAAAAGCCAACAATGAAGAATGAATGTAAGATAAAAAGCCAACAAAGAAAAGTAAATATAATAAAAATAGCCAACAATGAAGAGTGAATGTAAGATAAAAAGCCAACAATGAAGAGTAAATGTAATATAAAAAGCCAACAGAGTGAATGTAAGATAAAAAGCCAACAATGAAGAGTGAATGTAATATAAAAAGCCAACAATGAAGAATGAATGTAAGATAAAAAGCCAACAAAGAAAAGTAAATATAATATAAAAAGCCAACAATGAAGAGTGATTGTAAGATAAAAAGCCAACCATGAAGAGCAAATGTAATATAAAAAGCCAACAGAGTGAATGTAAGATAAAAAGCCAACAATGAAGAGTAAATGTAATATAAAAAGCCAACAATGAAGAATGAATGTAAGATAAAAAGCCATCAATGAAGAGTGAATGTAATATAAAAAGCCAACAATGAAGAATGAATGTAAGATAAAAAGCCAACAGTGGAGAGTAAATGTAAGATAAAAAGCCAACAATGAAGAGTAAATGTAATATAAAAAAGCCAACAATGAAGAATGAATATAAGATAAAAAGCCAACAATGAAGAGTAAATATAATATAAAAAGCCAACAGAGTGAATGTAAGATAAAAAGCCAACAATGAAGAGTGAATGTAATATAAAAAGCCAACAATGAAGAATGAATGTAAGTTAAAGAGCCAACAATGAAGAATGAATGTAAGTTAAAAAGCCAACAATGAAGAATGAATGTAAGTTAAAAAACCAACAATGAAGAGTAAATCTCTATCTCTATATACACTGCGTGACATTGAAAATGGAACACCAAGAAATAGTGGCCAGAAAGTGATGAAACTCGGCAGACAGAGAGAGACAGGGACGAACAATAAGTGATCTTTATTTCAAAATGATAGTCATAATACAGAGCGAGAACGGCGTCGGCTTAGTAGCAAGTAGGATCACCGCGGACGGCGATGCACGCAGCAACACGTCTAGGTAGAGAGTCAATCAGAGTACGGATGGCGTCCTGAGGGATGGCTCTCCATTCCCTCTCAACCATTTGCCACAGTTCGTCTTCTGAACGCGGCTGTGGCAAGGCATGAAAACGGCGTCCAATGATGTCCCAGACGTGCTCGATTGGTGAGAGATCAGGAGAGTACGGTGGCCAGGGAAGCATCTGTACATCTTGCAGAGCTTGTTGGCTAATGCGAGCAGTGTGCGGTCGGGCGTTATCCTGCTGATAAAGGGCATTGGCTACCCCCTGAAGGTAGGGGAGTGTCACCGGTCGCAGCACATCATCAACGTATCGTTGGGCCGTCATAGTGCCCTGAATACGAAGTAAAGGTGACCTGGAATCATACGCGATTGCGCCCCAAACCATGATTCCACGTTGTCGCACGGTGGGGCGTTCCACAATTGCTGCCGGATTGGACCTTTCTGCACGTCGACGCCACACGCGTACACGGCGACTATCACTGGACAAGCAGAAACGCGACTCATCTGAGAACACGACCCTGTGCCATTCCGTCATCCACGTCGATCTAGCCCGGCACCATTCCAAACGTTGGCGCCTATTCGGTGGGGTCAACGGCAGTCTTCTTAGCGGACGGCATGAGTGCAAGCCATTAGCAACCAATCGACGGGAAATGGTTCTGGTCGAGATGGAATGATCTAGGGTGTCTTGCACATGTTGCAGGATGGCGGTACAAGTGGCTTGTGGGGCCGCCACTGCTTGTCGAAGGATACGCCGATCCACACGTGCTGACGTCACTCTGGTTGCACCGACATTCCTATAAAT